TTGGGATCCCCTTCTCCACGCCATCAATCTTTTCAGGGATGCCCAAAACTTATTTTTGCCGGCTCCTTTGATGCCAGTATCAGCAATCAAGCCATCGATCTTGGTTTCACATTGGTTTTGAAAATAGAAGAATTAACTAATAGCTATTCCATCCAAAAGCTTAGTCAAAAATTCATAAAGCAACTCTCTCATAGAGCTATTGAAACGTAAGTGAGCGTCAGAGATTGAATGCTCAACGACTGTTTTGAGGGTTTTCCCCCTTATTGGACGTCGACGACTTGATTGCTTATCAATTTCTCCTCCCCTTTCAACTTTCAAGGGTTTTCCAGATTGAAAATTGCTTCAAAAATAGCAAGTGGATACACAATGTCATGTGAATATTTAAGCTACCGAAGATTGAAGGGGCGGCGTTCTCACAGAGCATTCGAAACTGAAGTGAAAGTGAGAGATTGAATTATCATCTCAACTATTTCAGGAATTTTTCCCAGTTTGAAGTAGAGTTTGACATTTGAATACAATGTCATGTTTGGGATGGTCAGCAAAGTTGTGGTAAGCAGCGCCCTCACAATCTGAAGTCTGAAGAATCTGTGAGGATGGCTCATGGAAGGACAGCGGGCTGCAGTCTGCTCCCATGCTGAAATAGTTTGAAAAATAAATAAGTATTTGTTTCTTCCCCTGTTCGGCAATTTAAATTCAATTGAGAAACACGATGATACCCTACCCCCTTCTCAAAATAGTTTGAAAATAAATAACTTAAAATAAGTATTTGTTTCTTCCCCCTTTCGGCAATTTAAATTCAATTGAGAAACGCGATGATACCCTACCCCCTTCTCAAGAATCTCGAAGCCCTGTCGATCACCTGTGTTTGAACTTTCAACTGTGGAGTAACCTCAGCTAATCACATGAGCTTGAGCGCTTAGCCCCTGGTCGTGCAACAAAGATCTGGATCAAGCAAATACTTTTTTTTTTTTTTTTTTTTTTTTTGAGAAGTTGGTCACCTTTATTACCAATAACAGAAGTTCAGAAAAAAAAAAAAGAAAAAAAAAAAAGAGGCTGGGGACCTCACAATTCAACCCGGATGAACAGAACTGGAAACCGGGTCCAGTGTCCCATTTACTCACTCTGTTATCTCAAAGAACCTGCTCAAAAAAATTCCCCTAAACAGTAAAAAGGTATGAATATCTTTCCAACAACCTAAGACGGTTTCGAAGGCATTTCCGAAGTTCAACGTGAAGCACAAAAGCTGAGAAACCAGCTATCCCTATGGGATTGTAATCTTAAATCATGTCTAAATTGACCGCACCCTTAACCTGTCGCCATGTTCGAACAAATCTGTAGCAAGCCTATGAGTCCAGCCTATGCAGGTGGCCAGAAGAAAGGAAAATCGCCATTTGCAATTATTATAGTCTTGGTATGACCAAACCCTAATGAACAAAGCCAAATAACAGTAGTAGGTCAGCAACGTTCCCACAACAAGTAGGTCTCCCACTACCTTCAATAGTTCCGATGCCTTCTACGAACAACCCCCAACCTTCCACATTTACCAACCAAAACCAAAGCCGAGAACCCACAGTGAAGATTTCTTGAAGTAGTCTCTAGATTAGGTGATATTAGGTGAAATAAAAATTACGAGCAATTTATAAAATTGCTACGTTATAGAGAGGGCTCAGATATGGGAATAGGGATGGAGATTTTGCTGAATCCAACCTTACGACCGAAAACCCAGCTCCCTATTAGGAGAGTAATTTTGAGTGTCGAGATCGACAAAACCGTTAACTATCACCAAATCAATATCACTATTCAAACAGATCAATAGCAAGAGTGCCAAGAGAATAGCTCTAGCCTATGCCAACGGCTAGAAGTTACAATCTGCTAATCCAAGTTATAATGGCCATAGTAATAGACAAAACCCAGCAATAGATCTCTACATAAGGCCGATAATCCGGAGAATTCCAAAGGAAATTTCACCAAACAGGTGAGCTCCTCACGACAGCAGTCCCACCACAGCCAGTTGCCCTCCCGCTACTTCTGGAAGCGCCGGTGGCCACGTACTAGATCTTCACATTCATCAACATGTAATTTTCCATGTATTTAGCCCGTAAAGGGGGTACGGGTACATCCCGCATTTACAAGAGCCACCTATGCGTCTTGAAATTCCTTGTATCAGAGCTTTGGATATCTAACATGTTATTCGTTAAAATAGGACATTATACTGTGTCCTCTTTCTAATGAATTCATTTTTTGGCTACAGCCTAAGCAACGCAGGCACACCCATCCGCCACTTAACCACATGCAGAAGCGTGCTGAGATCCGTACTTGTGAAACTTTACAACTGATATCTGAAATGCGGAAGCATATTGAGACCCATACATGTTAAGCATGCCACCCGGGAACCCTGTGCGGAAGCGTGTTGGGATCCTCACTTGTTGAACTTCAAAAACGTAAAAGGAATCCTCTGCGGAAGTGTGTTGGGATCCATACTTGTTGAACTTCATAAACGAATGACGACTGGCACGCCCATCAGGGAACCCTTTGCGGAAGTGTGTTGGGGAAGTTTAGAAATGTAATGAAAGACATGTCATTGATTGTATTGTGTCCTCTTTATGACGAATTYATATTTGGCTGTTGCGTTTCCACGTAGGCACGCCCATCCACTCGCCCTAAATGCGGAAGTGTGCTGAAATCCATACTTGTTGGATGTTATAAACAAAATGAGCAATACACTCAGATTGAATAACAAAGTATAATTCTTTCGGCTATCCCAGAGGTACACAGGCAGGTCCGTAGTCTCGCCTGAGAAGCTCATTCGGATGTTTGATGACATTCTGATTTGGTGAGAAAACGTAGTGTATTGAYAGGCACGCCCATCTATGAACCGTAAGTGTGTCCAGAAGTGTGTTGAGATCCATACTTGTCAAACTTATAGTTCATAGAGTGTGCTAAGCAAGGTGTCATGATTGAACCGTTGCTGGACAACACATCCAAGTTTCTTCATTAGGTTATCTTAAAGTTGTGCAAGCATACCCATCGTCTTGGCCGACATTAGGGCACTGCGATCCATACTTGTTTACAGTTGTGATGAGGAAGGTGTACTATGACGACCACTCAACTTTGACGTGCCATGCACAAATCTAGAACTTCAAATTTTTCTTATTCATCCGCTCTTCAAATGGCCATGCAAAGAAGGTATGGTGACACACTCAAGGTTGTCGGTTACATACAATGCTTGTGGTCTCAAGGCATGTGATCCTGTGCCCACTCAAGAGACATGACGTTACTGCTCCTTACATTTATTATTGCATCCATTGACCAATTTGTCATGCATCCACACGACGTTGAGATTTGTCACACAGTAGATGAGATTTGTCATGCATTCACCGACCGATCTGGCAATCATATATACACTTCGAGTTGAACAGGTTTTGGAACATGGAACGGAACGTATGACATGATTCGTTGCATGAGACACGAACAGGACGTGATAGAGAAGTCTATTGACGACCCCTGACAAGCAATGAGCCCGCCAAAGAAAACAGAAAGCAATGTCACTATAAAAACGTCAGTCGAATAGTGGCATAATTTACGAAATATAATCAACAACAAATGAAATACCTTCAAGAAAAGTTCCTCAGCCAAGCAAATCTACGAAAGAGAATGATGTTCTAAGATACATGATGCCGATTGTCGTCTAATAAGAGGAATATCTTGAGAAGAGAACCCGAAAGGCGGTCGATCACCACGTTGCAACAACGTCGCGAACATCAACATGAACACCCCGCAACTAGCTCCATCCACTTGTCTCGGAACTCCATCCACCACAACATTTTTCGGTATCGACTTCCAATTCCTATCCAACCACGTATGTGATGTTTGACGTTCCAAATACTCTACAATCAACTCGAAAACACTAATGTAAAATCTTGAATCAGATACAACTCGAGGAAAAGAATCAAAATTTTTGAGAACGTCATCTCTCAAGTTGACGGAAAGGAGGACCCAATGATCATTGTGTTTGTGGACAGGAACGAAAATAATATCGTATTGAACCAAATCCGCATTTTAGCCCACCTCTGCACCCCACCGTGTCCTTCAAGTTGCAGTTTACTGAAGAAGAACGAATTAAAGCTGAAGACTTGAAGGCCTGACGAGATGTGATGCGACCCACATGCAGTCGACCCCAACAGCGCCATATAAAAATTGATGACCTCATCATTCATCTGCCTTCAATATGCAAGAGGGTGAGGATATCTTTTGCTGCAATTCGAAATTGACCATCGGTCATGATACAGAGAACAACGTGAGGTGGCACAGAGCCTCGTTTAATGCCGTCCAAAACCCGCAAGCTCCGAGGCGCAGTCGCTGCACCGAATCTTTTCCGGCGTGTTCCACGAGTTGTGGACCGCACTGCACAACATTGAGCAAAAAACACGTGGGGTAGTGAGAAAAGCAGATCTACGCATTGTCCCCTGTTGCATGACGCGTTGCTAAGTATTTCTCATACATGGCCTGACCCCTACTCACAGATCGTGGATATGTCCCTTTCTCTGGGGCCAGAAGGGAAAGGCATTCCTCAATGGCAACGGCGTGCTCCCTCTTCCCGATCTCGACATCAACCCCTGATGCCTTCAACAGTCCCTTTTGTTTTCTCATCAACCCGGGGACTTTTTGCAATATGTGTTCTGGATATTTCGAGGACCTCCTTGTTCGAGACGACCCCACCCCTGTACACAGAAGAAGACAGAACGTAAAATGAATACATGTCTCCCAACACGAATCCGATCGAAGTGACAATGTGAGAACCAAACACTCGTACAGACGCAACAGTCACGCAGAACTTCTCCGTGTGTACGGTGGAGTTTCCAACACACCAGGCCCACAGACACTCACCACATTACGCATCCACAAAGGAAGTTCAGATCACGGCGGATTAAAACCGATGCTATTACCGAGAAGGCAAAACCGTCGGTGCATTTACCTGACCAGTTTCTCAGCCGCGTAGTTTATTGCGCGCGAATTTGTTAATAAAAACACACTGCACAGAAGGAATGGTGGCCGTATCGACAGACAGTGTGGACAGCGGTGGTGTGTATGGCGCGGACTGCAGTATGCCGACATTCGGACCACAGAGGAATCCGATCGCACATTTTCGTAATCCCAGGCGTGCAGGCAGTGTGGCGTTCATCACCGCTTACCGGTCGGTTTGTCTCTCTGCTCCTTCATCGGTGATGTTGGCGCTGGCAAAGAGAGAACGTCGATAGCGTGACTGCCGATCCTTGAATTTTTAGGGGACGTGACGTGCTGTTGTCCCATGACCTCGCCTTCCCCTACGCCGACGAGGGTGGCGGCCAACACTCGAGAGTCCGGCGGCGTGACGTTGCCAGCGTCGTCGACGTCAGGCGTTGTGGACGGATGCGCGGACACGTGCTGGTCGCCGAGTATACCGTTGATAACTTCGTCGATGCTTATACGACGACTTGCTTTAGACGGGCTCACAACAACGGAAGCCTCGTCGAACCGGTGTTGCAAATCGACGGCACACGTTAGCGGTTGGACCTCATAATCTTCAGGCTCCCGAGAAAGGCTGACAACCACTTGTGTCTCCATACCCTCGTAGACATCATCCTCGCGATGCTCTCCGTACAGCTGTCCAAACCCATCAGACGATTCTCCAGATCCAGTATTGGCCTCGCTTGTGTCTCCAAAACCCACGTCCCCTTCCTCCCCTTCCTCCCCTTCCTCCCCTTCCTCCCCTTCCTCCCCTTCTTCCCGTTCTTCCCGTTCTTCCCGTTCTTCCCGTTCTTCCCGTTCTTCCCCTTCCTCCTCCGCTTCGCGGGCTTCCTTCCCTTCCTCCATTTCCTCCCCTACTTCCCTTCCATGCAATCCAGCCCCTTCCCCGTTACCCTTGCCGAATCCCGACGACCGCCCTTCCGTCTCTGCGCATGCTGCCTCTCTCGGCGGCACGACATTCCCTGGCCGACACCCGCCGCTTGAAGAAGTTCGGATCTCGGCGGACTTCGTTGTCTCCGTGTCGCTGGATCCTGCCCTTGCCGCCTCTCGCTGCAATCCCAGCGGCCTTCGTTCCCTCTCAGGCGACACATTTCCGTCCCTCGCCGTACTGCCGCCAATTGTGGAATCCGGGCTCGGCTCRCCCAACAGGGTCGACCGTACTGGCGGCTCCTCAACCGACGTAGTTCGGATCCCAGCGGACTTCGACGTTCTGCCGGAGCGCCTGCCTAGAGCGACCAAGGCTGCTAACGTCTCCCTCGCTGATCCGACGGACGAAGCCGGTCGGTCGGCGGACTGTGTCGCATGCTCCTGCAAGGGGCCAGCAGACTGATCCCGATCGAAGGCAAAACCCGCCGCCCCACCGCTGCTTCCCAGGGCCGTGGTGCCGCCGTAATGCCCTCCCTCCCCGATGGGCGGATATCCTTCGCCCCCCCACCTACCACCCCCCCCGTCCCCTCCGCTTCCAGGCCCACCCCCCTCGGGACCACCGTGTGGCCCACCGGGAGGTGGCACTTTCCTGTTCACCACGCCCTTCGACGGGCTCGTGTCGAGGTCATAGTAGTCCTCCGTCAATTCCAACCAGCACTTGTCTTGGAGCTCGTCGAAAACTCGCCCGGCTGTGGAAACGACTGACGGGTCGTCGGGTGCAAACATGTCATTTCCGGCCCTCACTTTCTGGAGGACCGAAATCCTCGCGAAGTGCAGAAAGGTGGACTTCGACTCGTGCGGAATCGTCACCCATCCCCCATCCGGGACTGCGACGGCCATGACCCACTCGCCCTTCTGTATCGCTGGCTGGATGACACCTGGATGCCAAAGCATGTCATGGCCCTTGTCTGCCTTAGGCGAATGGCTTTGTGGCGCAAGCAGGAAATGGATGTTGTCATCCTTCCATGACGGATGGTCGGGCGGAATGTCGGACCCGGGACACATAGCGCGCAGGGGAATTGCCATAGCTCTCAGCCTCTCCAGCAACTTCATCGACGTGCTGCCCGGCGACGGTCTTCCCATTGGTGACACGAGTGGTGCCGCCGCTGCCGCGCTCGATGACGGACCGACCGACGACGTCCCTCGGGCGTGCTCCGCCGGTGCTGGATCATACTGCAGGTCGAGGCTCTCGGTGTCGCTCTCCTCCTCCTTCGCATTGGCGTCGAACTCAACACCGGTGGCTTCCTCGTCGTCAATGGAGATCAAGGAGGCGTAACTGGCTAACTTCAACTGCTGCTCGGACTCAACGAAGTACAACGACTGAAGCCTGTCGAGAAACGTCTTCACGTTCATGCGGGAGGCGGAATGGTGGTTGTCGAGCAATGCCAACATGTGGTCCTTGCGGCGGACGTACTCGGCGTCAGTGTCCGTCCTCGGCCGCGTTCGGAGGAACAAGAAGTCGTATATCTTGTTCCTCTTTCTCTCGCTTAACTTGAACCACATGTCCATCCTGTTGTTCCACACCCGATCTCGTGTCGCCTTCGCGACCATGAACTCGCAATTATGCGCCCCGGAATTGACCTCGCTTTTGACCAGTTGCATCATGAATTGCAAAAGGTCGGAGTTCCCTTCCATCGCGACCACATGCCTGCCCGCTTTCAAAAGCTCCCACACGCTTCCCGCGTGTGGTTTCCCGAGGAAGACGACACCCTCTTCCTTCTTCGAAAGAAAATCAAGAAGACCGACGAATTGTGTCAGGTTGCGTTCCATATCCCCGTACACACTGCCCTGTCGTTCCGGCGCGGTCTGCGACCAGTCGCAAGGCGAGAAGGGAATCTCCGACACATCCGTCGGGGTAACCCTCTGAGGCAACCTCACCGCTGCAGCGGCACCCTTAGGCAACCTTCCCTCATAGACCACGGACGTGTTCACGCGCATATCGTCACCCTTGAAGAGGATGTACATGCGGTCATCCTCGGTGTACAAATTGTTCCCCATGGGGAAGCTTTTCTTTTGCTGGGTCCTCCTCACCCACTTCCCTTCCAGTAACTTCACGAATGAAAGATGGTGCATGCTGGCGAGAAACGAGAGGTTTTGCTGCCGCGGCACGAAAACAACGAGAGTCCAATGCGAAGGACACCAAGTCTGAAGATAGGAATTCAGAGTCTCCCACGCTTGGGGTTTCCACAATGTTAGGTCAACCGGCTCGCACAGATCCAGTACGAAGGTGTGACTCTTCGTGGCTGCCACTGCCTCCTTCAATTCTGCACCCCTGATGTCAGCCTCCAAAGGGTCGTTGCCGAACGGCGCAATCGATGTCACGTCCCCTGTGTCTTTCCATTTGATGTGGACAATGCCTTCTGCCAGTGCGACCTCCCGGTTCTTTAGTCTATTCCCAGTCAACACGGAGAGAACCTTGTTTCTCCAGTCGACCGTCAACTTCTTGTGGCCCGCCAATTTTTCCGTCGCCTCGATGGAGCGGTCATCCTCGCAACCCAAATACGGTGGGCAGTCCTTGAACAAAGCCGAATCCGAAACGTATTTCCTGCTACCGTCCCACAAATCGTCATCCAGCCCTCGACTTTCGAACTTCCTGAACACGGCGGACCTGGATTTCAGGAACGAGTACTTTTGGATCTATCCGCGTCCGGCCTCTTCTCGTGCTTGAATTGGTAGTAATTTCACAGCCGGACGAGCACGCGGTCGCACTTCACCAACTGCACCATGTCCTGCACGCTTAGCTTTCCTAGCTTCGCCAACGACAGGGAGCCTGCCTGGACCCAAACGACCTTGCAAGCAAGGACCTTCAGAACTCGACACTTCTCACTGTCGGTGAGTGTTTCCATCACTTTCCAACAATGTGTGTCCGGGTCCGGCACCTGCACGAACCAATCACCCTCCTCTTTCTCCTTTTTGCCTTTTTTGGTTGGCGGCTCCACGGGGATGTTGTAAACCACCTCCTTTCTGCCCAACTTCTCGTTGTCGATGTATGTCACCCCGGGCTTGACGTTTTTGACCTTCTTCTTCTTGACGATCCACTTAGCCCCGTCGTGGCTCAACAATCTGCCAGTCTCCCAAATTTCAAAAAATTCCATGGCCAATTTCCACACATTTTCGTCGGCCATCGCCAAAGGGAAATAACAACGCAAGGCAACACTTTATTTCTTAACTGCGTCTTCTCCTTTTGCGTCCGCGAGAAGCCACAAGGCATTGTGCGGTGCTTTGTTGAGCGTCGTTGTACAAAATTTACGCCAATCCTTGACCTGAGCTTGTCTCCCGCTAGGGTTCCCCTTGACAGCTCTAGGGCAACCATCGTGTTTCCACTGCCATCGAATGTCTTTCATAGACAGTTTCAACTGTCTAGGAGGTGCCTTATGGTCTTTCTTGTTGTCYTGGGAGCTAACAAGGARATACCCGTCGAAGTCTTCGTCAGAAWARTACAGCATTCGYGCTGGCCACYGCTCGAAATTGTACCTCTTGGCCACMTCGCTGCCGAGCASCGACCAGGSTGCARCCRCGTTGTGCTGCCCGCACACCGCGTAGTAGTAGTACTGCCCCGCCAGCTCGTCCTTCCATTYCTCCGGCTTCAGACGTCTCGCCCTGGTCCCYRGAGTCGGTTYTTGAAGCCCCAGCGGKGCGAGCTTCAGGGTTGGCAACTCGTACAACTGTTCTTTATTCTCGAACGCCAACCGCATCGCTTCTTTGATCGTTCCCACTAGGACGGGATCCAAGGACCGTTGGTTGTACAGATCCTCCCACTTCCCAATGTCGACCACCTGAGATGGGCTAATCTCAAACTCCTGCCTTGTCCTGACGCCGTCTTTGTACTCGAGGAAGTACTCGGCGTCCACATCGATGGGAGGCCGTGACGAAGAAGGCTCCGACTCAGGCTGCTTTTGTTTCGAAGCCGATCGTTTGCCAACCGGGCGGTCCTGTTCCCCCCCCGTCCCCTTCCTTTTCTCGCCCGCACCCCTTGGGGTCTTGGTCTTCTGTTTTTTCGAAGAGCCGACGAACTCGTCTTCACGATTGCCCCTTCTTTTCTGTGGAGTGCTCTGTGTTCCCTCTCCAGCAACCGGCTCCTCTTCCGTGGCAAGGTCTTCGTCAGTCTGCAAATGAACTGCCGCCTTTCCTGAACCCGCCGAGACCTCTTCTCTAACCGGTTCTGTATGCTGGACCCCAGGTATAAACAACACGGAGCGAACTCTACGGCCCGAGTGCGAAGTTACCGGCAGCGGTGTTCCCTCGTCTCCGCTGTCGCCGAAATTACCATGGCTTTCCGGCCGCTCCAGTTGACTTGCCGAACCAGAACCCAGGTCTCCCCCCTCCGCCGCAGCCCCACTGGTTTCACAACCGCCGCACAACTGCAAGGGCGTCGACAGCTCCAGGGCGGGGCCGACGTCGCAGGGGACGTCGAGGCAGATGTCCCTCTCCTCTAACAAGTTAAAAAATTCTCGACCTAAAACAAACCCCCCCTGCCGCAGGAGGTCATTGTAGAATGGGGTGTTCACAGCACCCGCTCCGAAGCCCTCGAACAAATCCATATCCAGCAACACCCCCTTACAATTGTCGACGACGTTGCCCTTCGCCCCATAAACGTTTTTCATAAAAAAACAACGGTGAGTCCCTTTGGCGTCCTCCCATCGCTGAACGGCCCCCAGCACCCTGTGCCGCTTGTTGGAAACGACGAAGATGACAGGACGGCATGGTTGTTTAGTCGGGTCGGAAGCATCCCCACAACACCAACCGACGAACCATTTCGACCTCGAGTGGTCCGACCACGATTTTGAGGCCGTAGATGACCTTTTCGTGGAATCTTTCCCCAAACCCATCCCGGAGGTACCGACAGGCTGCCCCTCGCCTCTAGATGAAGACATCCTCCTTGCGGACGACAAAGCAAATATAGCAAACCACGACTCGGTCAGGCCACAGAAAACTGGAAGAAAACAGCACAGGTGGCAAGGGATCGACCACAGACCGAACGTTAACGAAAAACGACGAACAAATGTTGGGAACGACGAACAAACGTTGGGAAAGCCAAGTCAGATACGCCGGCCGCATTTTGCCGCCGACGAAAGACGAAGTTCGGATTACGGCGAACTACGCGCGCGAAGCCCTCTCACAAAACCAACCACCAAACAACGGAGAACTACGCACACGCAACTCCCGGTCAAGCGAAACATAGAAGGACGCGTCGTTTGCCCGGATGAAGCCAACGTTCGAAGGCCGCACCCCGCTAACCATTCCGTGAATCCGCCCCCCCCCCCCCCAGGGCAGAACCCGAAGTTCGGATCAGGGCGAACTTGCATTATCTTCGCTACCCGCGGGCCACAGAGGAATGACACAAAGAAGAGCTGGCATGTGAAAATTTTGTAGTTCGCCGGGATCCGAATATGAGGAGCGTGAGCGAGAGCCACGTGGAGTGCGAGGCAAGATCCACAATCGGGCGGACTCGCTACGGCGAACTACGCGCGCGAAGCCCTCCCACAAAACGGACCAGCAAACAATGGAGAACTACGCACACGCAACTCCCGGTCAAGCGATCGAGGCCAAAAAAAAATTGCAAAGCAAGCCAGGCACGATCTTAAGGAAAGCTCTCGACAACAAAACATAGAAGGACACGTCGTTTGCCCAGATGAAGCCCACGTTCGAAGGTCGCACCCCGCTAACCATTCTGTGAATCGCCCCCCCCCCACAGGGCAGAACCCGAAGTTCGGATCCGGGCGAACTTGCACTGTCTTCGCTACCCGCGGGCTACAGAGGAATGACACAGAGAAGAGCTGGGATGTGAAAATTTGTAGTCCGCCGGGAATCGAATTTGAGGAGCGTGAGCAACAGACATGGGGAGTGCGAGGCAAGATCCACAATCGGGCTGACTCGCTCAGCCAGCGCCGCACTGTGCGCCGAATGGACCCGTACCCCGCAACATGGACCCCTAAGAGTGCTTTTGGGATTTCGCAACGACAACGACCGACTGTTTGGCACATGTCGATGGTGGTCGGCGAGCATGTCCAGGCGGAAAGAGCAAAGACAAACCACCTCAAAGCCCGAGACGCGAACTTCCCGCGGATCCGAACATCTTGAATTACGGATCCGGGCGGAGTACACATATTTACACAGCACGGGCCGATGACAGCCATGTTCGGATCCACGGTCCAGCAGGCGCGCTGCCCCCACATCTTGCAAAAGGCAGGGACCTGAAGTTCGCCGGGATCCGAACTTGGCGACATTGCATGGGAGGGACACGGCTGACCATGCACCTCTCCGCCCCAAACAATTTAAAGTGTGGATCTCGGCGGACTTTGCATATTTGTACTCCATGACCTGGCGACAGCCACGTTCGGATCCACGGTTCGTCAGGCGCGCCGCAAACATGTCTTGCAAAAGGCGGCGACCTGAAGTTCGCCGGGATCCGAACTTGGTGAGATTGCTTGTGGTAGACACGGTCGTCCCAAACATTGCGAAGAGCGGATCCCATGCGGACTTTACAAAGTCCGACTGTAAGAGCTGACGACAGCCATGTTTGGATCCACGGTCCAGCAGGCGCGCCGCCCCCACATCTTGCGAAAGGCAGGGACCTCAAGTTCGTCGGGATCCGAACTTGGCGAGATTGCATGGGAGGGACACAGGTGTCTACGCACCTCTCCGTCCCGAACATTCCGAAGTGCGGATCTCGATGGACTTCGCATATGTACACTTCACGACCTGGCGACAGCCACGTTCGGATCCACGGTCCAGCAAACGCGCCGGAAACATGTCTTGCAAAAGGGGGCGACGTGAAGTTCGCCGGGAACTTGGTGAGATTGCTTGTGGTAGACACGGCCGTCCCAAACATTGTAAAGCGCGGATCCCACGCGGACTTTACAAAGTCCGACTATAAGAGTTGACGACAGCCATGTTCGGATCCACGGTTTAGCAGGCGCGCCGCCCCCACATCTTGCGAAAGGCAGGGACCTGAAGTTTGCCGCGATCCAAACTTGGCGAGATTGCATGGGAGGGACACAGGTGTCTACGCACCTCTCCGTTCGGAACATTTCGAAGTGCGGATCTCGGCGGACTTTGCATATCCACACTTCACGACCTGGCGACAGCCACGTTCGGGTCCATGGTCCAGCAGGCGCGCCGCAAACATTGTTTGCAGAAGGCGGCGACCTGAAGTTCGCCGGGATCCGAACTTGGCGAGATTGCTTGTGGTAGACACCGTCGTCCCAAACATTGCGAAGCGCGAATCCCAGGCGGACTTTACTGAGTCCGACTGTAAGAGCTGACGACAGCCATGTTCGGATCCACGGTCCAGTAGGCGCGCCACCCCCACATCTTGCGAAAGGCAGGCACCTGAAGTTCGTCGGGATCCGAACTTGGCGAGATTGCATGGGAGGGACACAGGTGTATACGCGCGTTCAGATCCACGGTCCAGCAGGCGCGCCGTCCCTACATCTTGCGAAAGGCAGGAACCTGTAGTTTGCCGGGATCCAAACTTGACGAGAATGCGAACTTCGACGGAGATCGAACTTTTTCCCGTGTTCGGTGGCTGCTTGACGTGCGTCGTCCGATGCCCAACAGGTGTCGATGCCCGACGAGGTTCGACGCCCGGTGGCATTCGATGTCTGCCAAGGTTCGACGTCTAACGAGGTTCGATGCACACCGAGGTTAGATGTGGAGCCAGGTTCGATGGCCTGCAAGGTTCAATGTGCGACACGGTTTTGACGACGTGTTTTTTTCCATTCACGGGTGGGGATCAACCTTGCACGATCGGTTGTCTGATCCATTCGCGGGTGTGGATCGTGGAAGTGATCAACTGCATGGTGGATCGAGTGCGATCAATGAATGTGTCCGACGGTTGAATGAACATCAATCGGGAAGAGAAGAGTGGATCAATCGGCTGGCAGATCGGTCGCTCGCAGACGCTGCTTCCATAATCCGTCTTCGATCGTCCGGTCTGTCTGACTGGTTGATAAACATCGAACGAACGGTCGAGTGGTCAGGGGATCTTCTGTGATCAACTAATTGGTCGTCTGCTAGGTTGGAGGTTGGTCCACTGGTCATTCGAGCAGTCGATCATCCACCTGGTCCTGACAGATTTGATCAACGGATCGACTGATTGGTCGAAGTCTATCAACCAGTTCGGTCGCTCACCGACAAGTTGATCAATAACGAAAAGGGTGCTGCCACGAGCACCACGCGAGAACCCATCAAACACACGAGCTCGTGGCCACACAAAAACACGCACATCGACGGGCGTGTTTTGATATTGCCATCAGGCCGGGCGAGACATACACGATCAATCGACGGATTGGCGGGTCCTACAAGGTGCTTGCTTCCTGCTTGAACGATTAGATTCACTGTAACTTCAATCGGCCGATCAATCATCCATTGGGCGATGTCAACAGGGCAGCATACGACGTCGATCGGTCGATCGCTCGTGGTCTGGTTATGTTTCGTGACGGGTCGGTTCGTCGCGTGTGCGGTTTCGACGCTGGCGCCACGTGGTCGATCGAGGCTTTCGTTCAAGCTTAGGGAAATTTGCATATATGTTTTCAAAGCTTCAGTCATTTGTGTGCAAAACGTCATGCAAACAAAACACGGTATTGCGTATATTCAATCAACTTTCAGTCACGGTATTACCATAACAGATTCTTTTGGAGATACCAAAGYGGAACTCTATGCTTTGATAGGAACTGGAAGTTTTGAAACTTGTTGGTATACTACCATAATGAAAGGCGGAGAAAGGTAATAAAGTAGGCAATGTGGTAAAAAAGAAGAAACTAGTTTTTCGAGAGTCTGTAGATCTCAATCAATCGACCGATCACGAGTGATCTGATTACGTTTCGCGATGGGTCGATTGGATGCGTTTGCTATCTCGGCATTGTCGCCGCGGGTTCTGAGATCATCCATTGTGCTGCACGGTGACTATGACATCAGGACAACAAAAAGGGTCAATCGAGTGTGGTCAGTACTCATGACATGCTTGAGTTTGTTCCTGCTGGTCCAGCAGATGAGCGATTGCGAAGAGCCCAACGCAGCACTGTGATCTGGTGCGCGGATCTTGTGTGGTCCCGCTGCATTCAACTGCTCGTGTGCATGACATGAGCATTTCATGTCACGTGCACGACCAGTTGAATGCAGCGCGACCACACAAGATCCGCGCACCAAAGCACAATGTTGCGTTGGACCCTTCGCAATCGCTCATTCGCTGGAATAGTGGGAACAAACTAGAAATGCAGACCATGTGATGAGTCCCTTGGCGGACACCTTCGCGCGCATCTCTGCGCGTTCGTTCAACGCAATCACACATGCGCGCACACGAGTATGTTCAAACATACGCACGCGCACACAGACAAACACATGGGCGCACAAGCCGCGCACACAGACACGCCCCTCGACTGCACAAACGCACGCGAAAAGACACACACTCGAACACACACACACCCTGTCGCACTTCTGGCGTGCACTTCGTACACGCACACGAAAAGACACGCACTCGAACACACACACACCGTGTCGCACGAACACACCCAAACGCACACGAAAACACACAACAACCAGATACACTCGCACACACCCCCACACACTCGTCCAAACAGCGCAAACACATCAACACAAAACCCTCCAACACGAGGACACATACACACACACGATCCGGCTTCGTGCGCACTCACCGTGTGAGAGTGTCGCGTGGCAATGCCATCGAATCCCGGCGTCGACAGAGACAGCGCTTTGTTAACGTTTTGCCGTGTGCTTTCTCTTCGCGAGGGTATTGCATGTTGAGGTCGCCGCGCCTTTCGACAACAGAGTCGGAGTGAGTCAATGCCACGCCACACTCAGAAAGATCGAGGATGATGTGGACAACGACTTGGATGGTGGAGGGAGATGAGAGCACGTCGAGGACAAGCGGGGTGCGCCAGCTATGGCGGTGGAGAATGAGAGTAGGTCGAGGCCGGTGGAGAATGGGTCGCCCTTCGCACTCGAGCCAGCTATGGCGATCAAGCTGTGCGGGGCGGTGTTGTTGACGACAGCGGCGGTGCGAGGCGTGCATCCGGCAGCATTTCCCCAGCAAAAACGCAGAGCGTGGCGTAAATGACGCGGGCGCCGCTCGTGCTTGTAGGCGCGCGGGTCTGGGGTCCTCTTCGGGTTCTCGCAAGGTCCGTGCGTCGCCGCACGACTGTTCGATTTGCGCATAGTGCGGTGTGTACGCGTCGAAAATTTCCGCACGATTGTTCGATTCACGCATCGTGTGGTGTGTACACGTCGAAAATTCCCGCGAGGGGGACCTAGTGTGCACGGCATGACAAAAAAGCGCTTCCCGCGCGTCATGATAAAAAAGGGGCCCTTGTTTGTGGCCCCTTCCGTTCTTGTTGACGTGTTCGCGGGGCCCGTGCGAGGGGGCCGGTTCGTATTTTCCAGTCTGTTTGGGGGGGGGGGGGGGGGGGGGGGGGGGGGGGGGGGGGG